GTTCAACTTGGTTTCTGCTCATTAAAGAGCAGTTGGAAGGAAATGGTTAATCATTGTTTGCCATCTGCTGTAGAAAATCCACACTATACAGAAACATTTTTGCAGCCAATCTAAAACCACAATGCACAAAGAGAGCAAAAGGAAAATACTGTTTTCAGCTATATATTTTTTTCAGTGCATGCTAAAATTGTAAATATTTTGTGGTTAACCCTCTCTCACTCTTTGACAGCACTTTCCTGTGGACAGTGGTCTCTGTGGTACATACCACATCATTTAGCAGTCCCTATAAAGGTACAGCAACAGTGCTATGGAGAAGCGTTAGTGGTCTGCTTCATAACAACTTAATCATGGAGAGCTAACCTATGAAACCATAAGGCCATCTTTCAGAAGGTCAGAAGGCCACAGGCCAATGCCACCTGTGAACTTCGCTGTAATCTAGAAAAATATTATCAACATTAGTAGTTTCAGCTTTTTTCCCCCATTTTTCTTCACATGTAAATAATAAACCACTTCTGTGTACTCCCCATCAGATTTCCTAGCCCATAGGCCCTTTCTAGCATTTCACTCATGTCTGCAATTGTCCCAGGAAGGCTCTGAATTCTCTAAATCTCTCCAGGCTGTTTTTTCAAAACCAGCTCTAAGTTTTTCTAAACATAAATTCTAGGACTTAAAATTATCAAGCCAAGAAAATGCAAAAGATGTTGCCATCTCAAAGAGAAAGAGAAATGAAAGAGGAAGATTGGTGACTATTCACGCTATTTTCTGGCTCATCTTCCCCATCTGGTAGTACTGACTGGGGCTGTGTCATAATTAGAGAGGGAAGTAAGTTGCTATTTTTGGATTGTTTTTTTAATCCACAATCTTCCACAAAAATTGTATTTGTTTTAAAATGAAGAAAAAGACATGTGAACGACGTAGAAAATATTCCACTTAAAAACAGAAAGACTGCTGGAAAAAGGCAGTTCATAAAGTTTTATTAAAATACTCATTGCTAATAGGTGGCAAAAATATCAGAAGAAATGCTAAGAGTAAGAAAATCAATACTGCCAAACCCATTCTTCTATCAAAGATCTAGCACTAGTGGCCATAATTCAGGTTATTGAAGTCTTCTTTCAAGACTGATTAAAGTTCATTTCAGTAATATCAGCAGGGATGCCTGGCTCCAATGATCTTAATACTGAGAGTGCTAAAGCCTGCAGTCTTCTAGTAGAAAATAAAAGCTTGTTCCTCTAGGCCTTATTGCAAATACAGAACTCACAGCATATCCAAAGACCTGTCAGTCAAAATATTTTTCCTTTAAAAAAATCTCATAAAAAGAACACTGAGAAATAATCCCTCCAACTTCCTTCTTTTGCAAGCCATAAACTTTAATCATCCTCCTCCTCTTTGCAGATCTCTGAGGTATGTAACTGGGAAGACTTATTACACATTTCTGAAACCTGCAAATAGCTTCTAATCTGGGACAACTTGTACCACCAGAGATCTTAAAAGAGAGTAATCCAGTAAGCCTTTGCAGACTTTAGTGTTCATGACCCAGTGCTGTCTAATATGCACTGGGGGGATTGCGAGAGAGTGTTGTTAGAAGTCCCCCTCTATCAGAGCTTGTAGCAAGAGAAAGAAAGATTTAATGAGAACAGTGCGCAGTAGTGCACTGTTTGTAGTAGTGCACAGTTTTCCAAGAACTTAGAAAAAGATATTTTCAAATCAAAGAGTAAAATAGAATACAGAAAGGTTCTCTGGATATTCAAAGAGTTGGATTCATTTCACAACTGTACAACAGATTTTCAAGATTTTGTTTTCTTATACAAGTATTTTCAGAAAAGTAAGTTCAGTTCTCTTGGGTTTTTCATGTACTATAGTAACTAGTCAGACTTTCAAAGGCAAACTACAACCCTGCTTATTTCCCTGAGCTGATCCATGCTGAATGATTTCAAGTATCACTGTCAAGGCTATATGTCTTAAAATATTCACATCTGTGTTTCACTTCCACACCTGCAAACTATTATGTCCCTACCTTTATGAATTGAGGAGTACAAACTTATAATGTCCATGAACCAACTTTGAGAATCTTTGGTGGTAAAGTCACACTGGTATGTATATTGATAGATGGAATCTGTTTCTTGGGGACTCAATCCTACAACTGTCTTCAGTAAGAATGGAACTGTAATTCTACAAATTCCCAAAACATGATCAGGAGATGTCACAGGTGTCAGTAAGACAGGCTGCTCTAAACTGCAGGGAGTCTGGCTTTTGAGCCAGTCCCAGGAATGAGGAAGGTACTTTTCATACCTCTCTTTACATGAGTAAAGTGTCCTCTCTCAGATGTATCTGTGCTGATTTCAACTGTTCACTGTGCATGTTGTTATTATACTGTATCTTATTACAAAGCGGAGATATTTAGATAAAGATCTGACTTCCCTTTCTAAGCACAGCAATGCTCTTTTACAGCCACACAGTACTCATCAATTCAGATTCTGGTTTTTAGAGATTAAGACTATATATATATATATGGACATCTCAAACCTACCTACAAACTCCTAAAGAAGTCTTAAAATTCCCTGCATCTACTCATTAAAGTCTCAAGATTGTTTAAAACTTAACTAAAAGATTTGAGGTTGGATGCTTTAGGAATAGTGGATCAATTCTCAAGACCAAAGTTCTAGCACTCCAAATCACCCTAGGTGCTTAAAAGTAGCATTCTGTCAGATGGAACACAGCTTTTCTTGAATGTGTTTCTCCAGAGCTGTTCAGAAACACTTTAATTCACTGCCCATAATGGTGAGACTGGCATAATTGATGACCTGAAACACAAGCAAAATTATCTCATTCATCCCTCAGCTGGACCCAGCAGAAGCTGCAAGTCAAAGGCCACACCAACAGGAATTTGATACCAATTGACATTATACAGCCATTTTTTTCTAGGAAATTCTTCTTTTTGTAAGTTTGATTAAAAAGATCCATCAGGAAGACACATCAACAGCTTTCTACCGACATGTATATAAGTAAAGCACATTATTAACACTAAAATATCATCCCTAAGCCAGCAGGAATCAGGCACAATAAAACATAAGGTATGCTCAAGTATACACAATCTTAATCTATGACAAGACACAGCTATATAGGGCTGTACTCTTGTAGACATAACAAAAGACATAGAAGAAGTCCATACTCTGTTTTATTCTTCTGGATAGATCCATGCCTTTGGTTGAGGATTATATATTTTTATATATGTTTTCCATTAATATTAACAACCATTTTTGTAGCACTCAACTTTTTACCCGTACTCTCTACATCACTTCATCAACATTTATTCGATCTACCAGTGATATCATTCCATCAAGATTTAATAGCTATTTTCTACAGTTCAAGCATGTTAACACTTGCTTTCACCTACGGTACAGCTTATCCTTCTCCTTTTAAAATTCTAATGATGTATAAAACAAAGTACCCTTATACAGCATGACTCAGAAATGCATTATATTCCTTTCTTCAACTAATGGTAAAGGAAATGAGTACAAAACAAAGGCAAAAGAGTTCTCTATTCTCATGTATAGTTTTATACTGAAATCCTGAGTGTCAAATGAACATGGCTTTTAGGAAAGTGTCAGCAACTGTAAGAGTTACATAAGATAGAGATAGAAAAATATTTTGCAAAGAAAAATGACAGTCACTTGAGAAGATGATTTATACTTCAGTCTCAGTACGCCAACAGCCAACATGTGACCTGACATTTGCTAAAGAAATCAAATAGACATTCAGCAAGATTACAAAAGCAAAAGCATTAATTGTTCCACACAAGCAGTTCCTCTTTGTACTAGAGTAAGATCTAGAACACTATGAAAAAAAAAGAAAAAAAGGTCACAGTAACAGGTCTTCCTGTGCATTTTGTTTTAACTTAATTTATGAAAGCCAAGTTATGTTGCTCATGCTGGCCCTTTTGCATCATGTGTCATATTCTTTATGGACAAGAAAGATTCACAATTCACATTCCCTGTGTGTTTTAAGTTACTTTGCAAGAGAATTTGACTGCTAAAGCAGTGCACAAGGAATGCATGGCTGTTGACATACACGTTCCACACCTGACAGAATATGACAAAAAGGACAACAAATGCAAGGATGTCCAAATAAGGAAGATGAGCTGGTTGGTGAGGTGAACTGGCTTAGATTGTGAGCTCTGTTATATACTTCCTGTATGATCTGAAATGATTTCATGAGCCCCTGGGACTCTGTTTTATCACTTTTTTAATTGAGATCATAATTCCCTTTCTCACACTGAAAGGCTTAATCATTAATAGGTTCAATTCAATGCTGGGCAGATAATCAATACAAATTTTATGCATGACTGAAGAACCATTTAACCTCAGATCTTAAGTGGCATATAGCCTTGTGTCAGCCTCTTAGCAGCCACTGCATAAATATTACATACGCACATTACTGAGAGTATTTGAGGGACATGAGTTGTCAGCAGTACTGATATTGCATTCCTCAAGTTACAAATCTGCAGAACAACAAACTTAAGAGAACATGTCCTTTAAATACAGAGCAAAACAAGAACTAGCACATTTATTTGTAATGGTTATAAATGACAAAGAAAAGAGAAAGTGGTATAACTTGTGCACTGAGTGTTCAAGTGCAATGATTTAAATGAATTCATGAAATGATTATCTTAAAGCCTCAGAAATCAACAGTGTCTGGGAGGATTTTATTTTGGTGTTGGGAGAAGCACTGTTTTTACTGACTTCTCCCAAGAACACAGCTCATGAATGTGACCATCATTTACTTCTAGAAATACAGCTACAATTCAACACAGTAATGACTTTTAAGATGTATCTTGAAGATACTTATAAAGATATATACTTACTCTGGCAATCAAACAGAAGAAAAAATTCTTTTCAGAACACCTTTCCCTAGGACTATTTTTAAAGCTTATTGCCAGAATTTATCTATCATGAAGACCTCTACACCAGCAAGAAATTCTGCACTGTGATTGTCATAGATACCTTGTCATTTTCTTTGCATAGATGACCAATTTTCACTTCTTTCCTCTTCTAACTTCATTAGTTCATCTTGTAACTTGGCTCCCCCTAGGTCATTTCTCTTTTTCAAAAAGGAAAGGAGAAAAAAAGCTGTAAAACATTTCCATTATCATTATGAGGGAAGAAAGTGAGAAACGGACATACAGACACTAAATGCAGTTCTTCCAAACAGTTCTGTTTACAAGGAGTTTGCTTCAGTATATGGGCAGTATCCCACTTTACACTTATTTTGAAAGCCTTGATCAAAGGTAAGAGGGGCATTAATGGTACTTTACAGTCAGGGAAACACTGACTTAAAATTACTGAGACTATTCAATTTAGTTGCTACTAACCTTGAAAGCTTCAAGTAAAAAAGTCTCCTCCACTTCCACAGCTAAACAATTTTAAAGTAGTTACCAGATATTTTTTTTTTTACTTTTACTCCTAAATATTGGAATTACATGCAGTCCTTTAAAATTAGTATGACTAGTGGTAGTAGAAAAGTTAACTGTGCTTTGACTAATCAATCAGGAAAAGATATCAATACATCAGGTCTAAATTACTCATAACATGTAGTAGTCAGCAGCTTAGTCTCTCTGCAGCCAATGATACTAATAATTTTTTGGATAGTAAATGTGTATCATTAATACCTTTACAAATGGATGGTAATCAGACTTCAATATAGACACCATTGATTGCACACAAAAATATATACAGCATGGTGAAATAACAATCTTTGTTTTCTTGCCTTGTGATCATTTTAGGACCACGACATGACACTAGATAAATTATTCTAGGTCATCCCAAAGAAGTGATGTTCTCTGCCTATTCATCAATCTACTCATTTATTCATTCTCACTCAATTCACTTATTACTGATTTCTATTTTCTCCAGCTAATTCTGCTGCTTTTTTGACGAAAGGTTACTCTTTTCCACAATGTCCTTAGCATTTGTATATATAGAACCCAGCAAATCTCCTTGAAACACTAACTTTGTCCAATAAGAGTCACCAATGCTTACCCACTGTTCATTCCAACCCTTTTGTTTTTCTGAAAATATGAACTGTGTTAATGCTATGTTTCTATAAACTATTTGTCTTGTTTTGCATTATGTACCAAGCTAATTTTCTATTTTTTTTCAACCTCTTTCATTATTGGTCTCTCATGCCACAATTTACCCTTATACCATTCCCACACTATTCTTAGGTAAGATTTTTCTCTCTTTTACTGTTGTTTCCATAACTCACCTTAGAACTAAAACATTCAGGCTTATTTTTCTCAAAGTCTTAGCAATTCTTTATTTTTCTTTTGTGGTCAGAGATCAGCTCCTCTTCTTCTACTTGTCCAGTGACACAATACTTTGTTCTCTATTTAACTTATTCTAAAATGTGCTAGTTCATCTCGTGCCATTCTGCACAGCTGAAAGAAGAAAAATGCATGTATATATTTTTCCTTAAAATAGAACACAGGTACTATACAAAATGTACATGAAAATAATCCTTAGCTTCAGTCATAAATGTGGCAAATGGGATCCCACCAGCAGAAAACAGTCCAGACACAAGATGGGACAGAAATTCTGCTGGTAAAGAAACTCTTCAAACTTGACTGCCTTAAATTGTACAAAGAATATGTGCTGACACAGTACCATATTGAGATTTTATAGATATGTTTTTCAGACTATTCCATTATTACACTAGGCTACAATCCTGCAGATGTTTAGATATGACGAACTTCAGTCATGCCAGTATTTGTATTATTGGGTCTTAAATTCCTTCTCCAGAGAGTTAAAGAGAAACCCCCTCACTCTTAGATTCATAATAGAAGAGTGGCAGTTGTTAGGTATTCCTCTTGTTGAAGCATGAGAATGTACTACAAGAAACATTAAACTTCTGTCTCTTTTCTGATAAAGCATTGTGCCTATGCTTCAAACCCTTCAAAGTCTTACTTAAATACGCAATTCAAATTAAACAGGTCTACATTTTGTTTTGAATTGGGCTATTATTAGACATCATTTGAAGGTCATTGGGATAAGCCATCCTTTTTAACAGATCTGAGCTTCTGAATTCCCTGCTGTGCACAAACTTAGACATTTCCTGGCTTTTTGTTTTTACTTTCTTGTTATGTGTTTAAATCCATATTTAAAAAACGTCTGGGGCAATTTATCAACTTGGTCACAGAGCTACTTCTACTAGTAGCTTATAAAAAGGAAAAAAAAGACCAAGGTGCTGAGGGGAAGGGGTTGTGCACAATCTGAAATACTGGTAATTTGACAGCTATGATATAAAAAACAGATTTTTCTTTTTCTTTTCTTTTCTTTTCTTTTCTTTTCTTTTCTTTTCTTTTCTT